ATTGGAAAAGATGAATGCTGATATTTGCCATAATTCATATATCAATTTTAGATAACTTTGTAAAACTTTCTGTAATGTGTGCAGAACCTAGAAAATGCCTAATAGCTGATTTCTGGTTTTTACTCTTTAAACTATCACTGTATTTCTTTCCCACTCCTTCCTTCTTTACCAGTCTCCTTATCCTTTTTTATTACCATAAGCTGAAAAAGGCAAAGAGGATGGACATCGGAGGAGGGAGAAAATAGGGAACAGAACAGGAGCCTGCCACAGAGGGCCGCTGAAAGGCTCTACCCTGCAGGGTATCAAAACATATGCTGAGACTCATAGCCAAACTTTGGGCAGAGTGCAGGGAATCTTATGAAAGAAGTGGGAGACAGTAAGACCTGGAGAGGACAGGAGCTCCACAAGGACAGCAACAGATCCAAAAAGTCTGGGCACAGTGGTCTTTTCTGAGACTGATACTCCAGCCAAGGACCATTCATGGAGATGGCCTGGAACTCCTGCACAGTGGTAGTCTATGGCAGTTCAGCGTCCAAGTGGATTCCATAGTAATGGGGACAGGGACTGTCTCTGACAGGAACTGATTGTCCTGTTCTTTGTTTACCTCCCCCTGAGGGGGAAAACAGCCTTACCAGGCCACAGAGGAAGACAATACAGCCACTCCTGGTGAGACCTGATAGACTAGAATCAGAGGGAAGGGGAGGAGGACCTCCCCTATCAGTGGACTGGGTAAGGGACACAGGTGGGGAAGAGGAAGGGAGGGTAAAATTGGGAGGGGAGGAGAGAGGGAGCTACAGGGAGGATACAAAGTAAATAAACTATAATTAATAAAAATAATTTTAAAAGTCATCAGTTTATGCAGTGAAAACTGCCACTCACTTTTCTCATGCAGTCTCTTTTATAGATGATGATAAGCTAAAGTGACTATTTTCTCAGTTTATGGTAGACATTTGAGTAACTTTTGTTTAATAAGACATAAAGACCATTTTTACAGGATTCTGACAAGACTGTTTTCCAGTTTATGGGGATCTTGCGATTACACTGGATTCTAAAAGATTTTCTAATTATTGAGTACTTTCTCCGTGTTGTAACTAAACATTAATATAAAATGTTTAAAAAAAATCACGTTATTATGTAATGTTTCATAGTTTATTAATCAGAGTGAAATAGCTCACTGAAATAGTAACTTAGGTTGATAGTGATATACTTAAACCCAGGCAAAACTCCCCATGGAATGCTGTATGTAAACATGTATGATCCCTCTCTGCTCCCTCTCCAAGAGGGTATATGAAGTCTTGGAAACAGTCATTGAAACTTCTGAATTGTTACAACATTCTTCTCTCTAAAGTATGCAGTTATCATTCTCTTTAACATGGAGAGGCATCCATTGGTGTTCCCATTGAATGATAGGTGACGAGGGTATACGGGGGAAGACTGACTAGGGAAGACCCGGTCCTGGTCATGCTGTCTCCATAATGAAATGGAAGGATGCAGATTAAGACAGAACCAGTATAGGGGCTGTTTTATCTATCACTACAGACCTAATTCTTGGGATTTTAGTTGCCTACTGGAGACCTTTCTCAACACCAGTGCATGGGTTCAATGGTACAAGATAGAATTCAGTCACTGAAAAGTACAAATAACAGCAGTGATTTAGAAGAAAGCATGAAAATATTGCGGACACTTTACGCTGTTCCCCATTATCTGTGTCTAGTGTGACAATTTGATCCGCACTAATCTTTACAAAATTGGGATTTGAAGGCAAACTAAATGTATAAAGTGTTGTGTTTTTCAATGTGAAAAATAGTACATTAACGCTTTGATTACTTTGACTCTGTATCAAAGAGGAGCAATATTTTAGTTTAGGTTCAGGTAGGTACAAAAGAGAAAAGGAATTTTAGGCCACATCCCTCACTGAGGATTAGAGTTTGAAAAGAGCAGCAGGGATGGAATGCACTGCAAGAGGATGACAGCTTTCTCTGATTTTTTTTCTCTCCACATCAACAGCATATGCCAACTCACATATTCTATTTAGTGGCAAAAAGAAAAATCTTTCTGTAATCATATTATAGCCTATCTCAGTTATACTCACATGGACAGACCAGACTTTCATTAAGGTTGCATAAAACAACAATTTCTCCAATGACTGTCTTCTTCTTTTTGAGATTGTAACATCCAATTGTACTGACTTCTAGATTCACTACCATGATCTATTTAGCCCTAAAAAGAAAACAAGTTAACATACTAACACCAAATCCTTTCCTTGGTCATTTTTTAAAATGTTGACATAAGATAGAAAAAATATTAGTAAAATATCTTACTGATACTGTACCAGTGTATCAAAACCTGAGATTAACAATCTACTTCTTGATATGAGTCTGATGGTGACAGGATTGCAAAGGACCGCTGAAGCACAGAACATGGCAGGCTTAAAACTGCTTGTGAACATTTAGCACGATCACTTCACAGTGCGATGGATGTTGGAAGAGAAACAGAAACTAAACCCCAGTGCATAGCTATGTTTCTAATCTCTTTAATTCATCAAATACACCAATCCATCACCAATGATCTGCTCCCACGTGTCAAGTATCACTCTGTGTCTAGGTAGGCATCAAGACAGAGGGATTAGAAAGTTAGACAAGATTTTTACTCCCTGGGAGTTAGCTCTGCTTAAAGTATGCTAAACAGTCTGGCATAATGTCAAGATGGTGAAGCCCTGGAAAGAGCAGACTGCGTGAGCAGTGCCTCTACAAACTTGTGTTCCACTTAAGGTGCTCCCTTAATTGTTGACATCATCCTATTTGTGTATATAACTGACATTCGAGTATTGAAGAATATTGGCAATTGATTTCTTCTTTCATTAAAATAACATTTCTTAACAGGTGATTATTGGGTGGCACACACGGTATGCATGTTAGGTACTTCTCAAACTCAGTACAGCTGTACTTCCTAATCTCCATTCATCAGAGGCAGAAATGAGTCCAAGAAGGTTAAGAAAACCTGGTAAAGGCTATACAGCTAAATAATTGCTGCTTCTAGTATTTGGTCCCAGTGCTATTTAGTACAACATTACGTTACTTTGACTAAACTACCTACTATGTGTCTCCATTCCTTACAGTTCATCATATAAGCGATGTGATTCCAATTAGTCATTTGAAGTCAGTAAGATAAAGAGAGGAGATGGTAATGCTAACATTCAAACAAAGAAAAAAAATGGTTACACAGTCAGCCCTCCTTCTCCCCACTCAATACTGTCTCCCTGAGGAGCTTTCTCTCTTGAATTCTAGGTACACAGACCTAGGTAAACAATTTTCATTCCATGCCAGCTTGCCTGTCTTATCAATCAATTTTCCCCTAGAAAATTTTTATTTGAAAAAAGGGCTGATAAAAAGTCTGAAAAATAAATGTCTTCGCCAACCTGAAAAGCTGATTTTGCAGAAGTTTCAGGATGTTTAATAGAGGCATCAGGAAAGCATGAGGGAAACATTTGAGCAGGTTAGGTATATAGGAGGCTTTCTGTGTATAAACCATTACTCTTCTGGCGTTTGTTAAAGAAGAAAAGATTCAACTTAGTGTGTCGATTGTCTTACACAGCCTACATGGGAAGAGATGAGAAATGTAAAGCAATTAAAAAAATAATTGTATGAGGGAATGGGGGTAAGGGTACAAATTAACTCTAAGACATTAGGCTTCATGGTTAAAATTTCTAAGAATCTTATGGGTTCTTTTCAAGCCTCAGCAGAAAAATTCATATTCAGCATTTCTACCATTTATGATTTGAAGAAGGTGGATGACAGAAGAGGCTTCCAGTGAGGGTGATTGACAGTCTATAAGAATAGTTTAAGCAATATTATTTAGATATATATCTTTACTTTGAAATATACTGCTTTTTCATTTGGAAGATTTTTAGCTTACATTTACTTATCCAATTTTTAACAATTTATTTGTTTTTATTAATTACAGTTTATTCACTTTGTATCCCCCCATAAGGCCCTCCCTCCTCCTCTCCTGGTCCCATCCTCCCTCCCCATTCTTCACGCATGCCCTTCCCCAAGTCCACTGATAGGGGAGGTCCTCCTCTCCTTCCTTCTGATCTTAATCTATCAAATCACATTAGGAATGGCTGCATCTTCTGTGGCCTGGTAAGAAGGCCACAGAAGGGGGGAGGTGATCAAAGAACAGTCCAATCAGATTTTTAGGAAGACTGTCAAATCACAGTAGAGAGATCCTGACCAGCTTCTTGACAGGTACTTCCTAAATATGGGAACTTATCATTTGTAATCCATAGATATAGGGAATAGTACCTCCTTATTTGCAACTGTGAGCAATCTTTGTAACATTTTTACTATCTTATAATTCGTTCTCAACACTCATGATCTGTGTTTGGAATCTTGGGAACAGTTACAAGGGTACCACTCAAATTCACTCATGCATTGGCGGCTGGCTCCAGATCATTTGCAGACTGCAATCACCAGTTGTATGCAACGTTATTGTATTGTTTCATCTTTTAAGTCTATTAAAATATCTCCCATAAAGAGTCCCCTATCGGTGGACTAAGGAAGGGGGATAGGGAAGCAAGCGGGGAGGAGCGAGGGAGGGAACGGGAGGAGATGAGGGAGGGGGCTACAACTCGGATACAAAGTGAATAAATTGTAAAATAATAATAGTAATAATAATAATAATAATAATAATAAACAATAAGAGTTTAACTTGAGTGTTTTAACTAATATTTAACACAGCTCACTCCTCTCTGCCATGCTGAACTAACATGCCTTATGATGTAACTGTTTTATTAGTGATCTTCATTTCTGTGCTAGCCCTAGCTTACATAACCTAACAACACTCAACCCTACAATAAACTTTCCTGAGATCGTCTCGAAACATAAAGCACTCTGACTCCTGTAGTTTCGGTCATGCAGACATCTCCTATTGAACTACCACAAAGCAAACGCAGCTGTTTCCCTAGCTACTATTCCCTGCTATATTCTGGCAACTATTACCTTAGGGTTTCCCCGGAGGAGCCCCTCCTCTTCCACAGGTTGACGAGGCTGCTGGATCTGCTGGCAGCGGAGGATGACTTGCCATCCCCGACGTGCATGCGCACCACGGTAGACGTCGTGAAGGCGCTGCGCACATTTCTCTCTGGTTTGGCTAGGATGATGTACACCTTCGGCACAAACATACAGCCCAGGGCCACTGTGGCGCTGAGGCTGACTGAGAAACACATGGTGATGATTTTGTAGTTGCTGCCAAAGTAGATAGGCACGAAGGCCAGCCATATGATGCAGGTCGTGTACATGGTGAAGGCGATATACTTGGCCTCATTAAAGTTGGCTGGGACATTTCTGGTCTTGAACGCGTAGAACGTGCAGCTCAAAATCAACAATCCATTGTATCCAAGAGGAGTAACAACCCCTAGGTTGGTGGTGTTACAAATCAAGTAGACTTCTCGAATGCTTGGGTAGTCATGCATTATATCAGGAGGCTCCATGATAAACAGGGCCACGATAATGCCCAACTGGATACAGATGAGAATGAAAGCAATCACTAACTGAGCACAGGCACTCATGAATCTGGGCTTTTTAGTACAGATCTTCTTCTTGCTGCCAGCTAGGATCCTTGCAATACGGTTGGTCTTTGTTACAAGGGCTGAATAGCTCATGGCTGGAGAGAGACCGATGCCAATTCTCTGGAGATAACAGTAAATCTGTTTCGGCTTCGCAATGAGGCAGAAGGTACATAAGTATCCCAGGCAGATGCCAGCAAGGATGATGTAGCAGAGTTCTCTGCTGGAAGATTTGACCACTGGAGTGTCCCGATAAATGATGAAGATTACCGTAACAAAGAGAGTGGCCAGGAGGCCGAGGCAGGCAAACACCACAGCTGCAATGGGCTCAGGATCCCCCCAGCGAAGATACTGTACTGGGATCAAATCACAACCTGCAGAAACACAGACATATATTGAAAAAGAATGAGACAAACACAGTTGGCTTACAAGTTCCCCATTTACGAGCAGCTGCTCTGGATTGTTTCAGTCTGTCGCTCGTATACCTTTATAATTTCAGTGTCTCATACAATTTATTCCTTCAAAGATTCATTCAGAAAATTAATATTGTCAATTATATGCTGATTGATGGCCCCTGTCTTACGTTCTGAGACTAAATGATGATAATACTTTTTCCTGCTATCATAAAAACATAATCGGGGACTTTAAAAACGATTAGTAATAACTGAGGTAAAGCCTATGGATAAGTCCCATGGCTTCGTTCTTAGCCAGGAGCAAGTAGACACCACTACAATAGGAACTATCAAGTGTTAATATGACAGAACATGAAACTGAATGGATTTGGGAAACAGAGATCACCTATGAGGAAAAATAAGAAAGGAGACTATGGTGTAATATGAGGCATATTCTTCGATGAGGCTTCAGACAAGTGGGGTATCTTGCAGGTCAGAGGGTCTTAAGTTGACCAGAAGTCACTATTGGAAATTGTATAGAGGACTGGCATGAAAGGATTTGTGTGACTGCTTTTCATACATGCTTTGATTGATGTATGAAATCAGAATGTAGACAAAGCTGAAAACCATTTCAGAGCTTATAAAATGTTTGAATGGGTGGAGCAGTGTATGAAAAGTAAATGTGTGAAAAGTGATCAATATTGGTAAAAAAAAAAGTTAAGATCTTTAGAAGAACCTTGGTTTTAGATGTGAGGATGCTACTGAAAAAGGGGAAGTTTTAAAATTATTTTTTTTATAAAAAACAAACACAAAATACAATTGGAAAATAGAAAAGAATCATTTTATATACATCTACCCCTCTTGCCTCATGTATCAGTATTTCAGATTGTTGTTAGTATAGTAGGTTCAATGAAGTTATATCCTGAGGTCATCCACACTTTGCAAAACTGCTCCTGTTAGAAAACATATTTGTATTTTCAAGAACTATTAAAAGATCTCTATAATATATGGTAATCATACTAAAATATGTGCACATAAGGAAGCTAATCAAGAAGGAAGACGTTGGGTAAGATGCTCAGTCTTCATTCAGAAAGGCAAACGGGACAGACATCAGAAGAGGGAGAAAACAAGGAACAGGACAGGAGCTTATCACAAAGGGCCTCTGAAAGACTCTACCCAGGAGGGGGTCAAAACATATGCTGAGACTCATAGCCAAACTTTGAGCAGAGTGCAGGGAATCTTATGAAAGAAGGGGGACATAGAAAGACCTGGAGAGGACAGGGGTGCCACAAGGACCAAATACATCTGGGCACAGATGTCTTTTCTGAGACTGATTCTCCAACCAACGACCATGCATGAATAATATCCACTTATAAATCAGTACATAGCATGTTTGTCTTTCTGTTTCTGTGATACCTCACTCAGGATGATCTTTTCTAGTTCCCACCATTTACCTGCAAATTTCATGATTTCCTTGTTTTTAATTGCTGAGTAGTATTCTATTGTGTAAATGTACCACAACTTCTTTATCCATTGCACAGGGTTCTTTTCAGAGATTGATACTCCAACCAAGGACCATGCATAGAGATAACTTAGAACCCCTGCACAGATGTAACCCATGGCAGCTCAGTGTCCAAGAGGGTTCCCTAGTAATAGGAACAAGGACTGTCTCTAACATGAACTAATGGGCTGGCTCATTGATCACCTCCACCTGAGGAGGGAGCAGCCTTATGAGTCCACAGAGGAAGACAATAAAACCAGTCCTGATGAGACTTGATAGTCTAGGGTTAATGGAAGGGGAGAAGAACCTCCCCTATAATTGGACTGGGGGAGGGACATAGAAGAAGAAGACAGAGGGAAGGTGGGATTGGGAGGTAGTGTGGGAGGGGGCTACAGATGGGATATAAAATGAACAAACTGTAATTAATAAAAATTTAAAAAGATCTCAACACAAAAATTTTGTGACTATTCAAAAGTAAATGTTATTGTATGCATCTTTAATTATAAACAAATACATATCTCACTGCTAACACATAGATCTGAACAGAACACTGTTAGCACAGGAGCTAAGATCAATAATTAATAAATTACACCTCATGAAAAAAAAAGTTTCTGCACAGCAAAGGACTCCATCAATTGAGCAAAGCAACAGACTACAGAATGGAGAAATATTTTTCCAACTCCACATCTAATAGAGGACTATTATCCAAAAAATATATAAAACTTAAGAAATAAGACATATACATATATATGCCAAAACAACCCCCAAACAAATAAACCAGTTGAAAAATGAGGTACAGATCTAAACATAGAATGCTTTAAGAAGGAAACTCAAATGCCTGGAAACACTTAAAGAAATGTTCAACATGCCTAGCTCAAAGATATACAAATCAAGACTAATTTGAGATTTCATCTTGTACTTATCAATAAGGCAATAATGCAAGTGGCATCTTGATGAGGTAGTAGAACACGGGGAACACTCCTCTATTGCTTGTGGGAGTTCAAATTTGTACATGCACTATTGACATTAGTATGAAATTTTCTCAGAAAAATGAGAATTGATCTACCCGTGTGTCCAGATGTACCACTCCTGGGCATATACCCAAAGAATGTTTCATCCTATCAAAGGGACACTTGATCAACCATGTGCATTTCTGTTCTATTCCTAATAGCCAGAATTGGAAACAACCTAGGTGTCAATCAACAAAAAATGGGTAAAGAAAATGTATCTGCACAACAGAATATCTCTAGCTATTTAAAAAAAAATGACATCATGGATGGAACTAGTAAAAACCCATCTTGAGTTATGTAACTCAGACTCAAAAAAATTGTATGTATTCATTTACATGTGAATATTAACCATTAAATAAATGATAGCAAGATACAATTCATGTATCAAGAGATTAAGCATACTGTATATATATATATATATATATATATATATATATATATATATATATAT